ATAAGATTAGATAGGAAAAATGGGTAAGCAAATACTTACTGATTAAAGACACTTTGCAATTAAAAAATCACCTTACTACAGTGAAACTTTCAGGAGGGGGGAGGGAAAGAAAATTTGGACAAAGATAGTGACAACTTATACATGTGTGAACAAAGATATAGCAATCATTTTTTAACATGGTGACTACAGAAAAACTAAACAGCAAGTGGAAATTCTACGACATTGCTGCTAATCTTCAATGAAGAAAAAGTCAACAAGCAAAATTTACATTTACGCAAGTGGCTCAAATGTCTTAACTTGTTTTACACTGCCAACTTCATTTTCTTTCTTGAAATTAAAGCATAAAGGGTTTTGGACAGAAATCAAATCCAGCACCGTGGCTATACCAAAACGAAAAAAATGCCAAGTATGGTTGTCTTCAAATTGGTGTAATTCCTACCTTCTTAACCCGTACAAAACCTTCAACTCTACATCCTCCTGCTGAGGGCGCAGGTCTTTTTGGATCTTTTGTCTTGTCAGATTTATCCTCTAAAGCAAGTCTTTTAGACTCCAGTGAAACAGATGCAACCAAAGTTTCCATTGTCTACAAATAATTAAAAAACCCAGTAATGCCACATATATAATAGGTGACAACATCAACACCTATGCAGGACTACACAATTCAATCATAGGTTTCTAGTATAGAAAAATGATATCAACTGCATTGATAGATGTGCAGAGTCATGCTACATATACATTTCCCTTTTCCTTTATTTATTTAATTTTTGTTTTGTTCTTTTACTTCCTTGCTTTTCTTCACCTTATTTTTGCCTTTCCCGTTTAAAACTTTGGGCATGCAACTCAATATTGTTTCTTACCTGGACCAGACTTTCAGTGTATTGATCGCCAAAATATGATTCATGCTCATGATGCCCATGTTCATCCCTATATTAAAACAGACAACAAACTTCTGATTTGAATACAGCAAATTCAAATATTACGTAAGGTCATTATAAATGAAAATTTCTGCTACTTAAAGCTAAAGAAGAGAAAAGTTTGCACTACAAAAGGAAATTTTTAATAAGAAAGTTCAGATTAACCAAGACAAACATATAATAAGCAAACAGTTTTTAACAGGCAACAAAGGTCAAAGAATCAAATTTGGACAAAGATAGTGTTATTCTTGGTTTTGATGATCACAAAGGATTTTGAAATGTTTATCTAACTCTCTTCAAATATAAGTGTTTTTTGCCTATCAAAGAATCAGGTACGAATATGTCAAGAAATGAAAATCAACCAAAAGAAGAAGCAAAAACAGGACACTCATGTCGGACGTCCAAAGGAATCGGTCGGACGTCCGAAAGGATGAAGAACATCAAGAAGGAAATTCTGTCGAACGATCGTGAGGAAGCATCGGACGTCCGGATGGATCGGACGTACTCTTCGGACGCACAGTGATCGTGTCGGACGTCCTAAAAATTCCACGAAGATTTGATAACTCTCTGGACAACGTTCGGACACAGAAGCTCGGACGATAAAATCCCATCGGATGTCCGAACAACAACTTGACTGATTTCGGACGATAGGATCGGACGATGACTAAGCCGTCGGACGTCCGACAGCCCCAACGGCTAGCTGACTCTTCGTCTGCCTTCTATCCTTTGGAAGTATTAATGAAGCCCATTTTTGGTTCCCTTTAAATACAAACGATTCTGATGCAGATGGGGACTTTTGCACACTTTGTTTACAAGATCTCAAGAGATATTTTAGCTAGAAAATAGTCTCCAAAGCTAGATTTGTTCTCCAAGTGGTGTGAATTTCTTGTGAACTTTTCTCTTGTGGTTGAAAGTTTCATTAGTGTAGCTTTGTTGAGGGTTATCTGAGTGATTGTAAAACTTCTTAGCTTGACTAAGTGAGGCTTAGGGCAAGGAGGAAGTGCTCCCTCCATTGTACATCTAGTTGATCATCTTTCATCAAAGAGAAGTTGCTCAACCTAGTGATTGGTCTTCAAGTTTGAGGAAAGCTTGGTAGACAATCGGTTTGATATTCTATCTCATTCTTTTTTGTTTAATAAAATTCTCATTGCTTATCTATACTTGTTTTTCGAATCAATATTGCTCTCTTCTTCTAATCTACTTGATTGATCATTACTAGAAAAGAAGGTAAATTTTTATTAAGTAAAAAATTGCATAAATTTGATTAAGATTTTAATCAACCTAATTCACCCCCCTCTTAGGTTGTCTTTGGGCCTTACAGATAGTGACAACTTATACGTGTGTGAACAAAGATAGCAAAGAAGGTTTAATACAGAGAAAAAGTAAAATTCTGGACCAACATTCATATTAGTGCCATACAGCAGCCTAGCAGATATTGCGCATAGTCCACTTTATGTCTAAGACCCTTTCCACCGAACCTAATAATGCAAGTATTATCAAATTAAATTCAACTTTAATGTCAACGAAAAGGAGAACAAGGTATAAAAAATGAAACTGAAACATTAGAAAATTTCCAACAGGAATATTGCAAGCAAATTCCGAGTATGAAGCTATTGGACAAGGCCAACAAATCATAAGTAAGGATGACAAAAAGAGAATTTAAAAAAAAAAAAAAAACTTCTTGAGCAGTTCTCCATTAATTTTTTTTAGTCCAAGAGAGATTTTAAGATCCTACAAGAAGAAAGGAGAAATGGAGAATCAAACCAGTAATATAGGCAGCTACCTCCTTTTCATTATTTCTTCGGCTGTCTTGAAGTCATTGTAAAAAGCTTCTGTCCACAACCGTTACGCCAAACATCCCGATCAGGCACACCTCCAGTAAAATAATTTTGCCCTCCTGAAGTAGCCTCAGTCAAATCTGGATCTGGATCTAGATCAGAATTTGGATGTTTAAGGTCCAAAATTGCTGCTGCAGAGCCATCACCTAAGCGGATCCTGTGGAAAAACAAAAAACAATTTTTGTATGGCCGACTATGGTAGCCACCAAGGAGCCCAGGACAAGGGACGGAAAAAATACGAACTCCAGAGGGGGGGAGGAAAACAGGAAGCTTACAGAAAAGATCGGAGTTCACTGGAAAGGAAGAAGGAGAAAGCTCGCGACGGAGGAGGAGGAAAAGCGAACGAACGGCACAAGATCTGGACCGATGCAGGCAACAGCGAAGGCAGTAGCTCCTTGGGCGGTAAGAAGACAATGGAATTGGCATAACGGAATACCACACCGCAACAAAGCTTTGTACCAATCTGGAGAGCACGCGGATAAGTGACAGAGCAACATTGTTGTGAGAAAAAAAAAAGAAGAGAAAGAGAAAAGAATGGCAGAAGAAGGAGAGAGAGAGCAGCTGCAAAGGGAAGGCAGCAGGAAGAGAGAATGCAGCAGAAGCACATGGGATACTGGCAGCGAGTGCGAGGCCAGGTGGGAAGCTAACGCGCAAGGCGCGAAGGACTGAATGCTTCTAATCCACATGCTGGGCACGTGAGAGGACGACGAAAACCTCCAGGTCACCACAGCCCTTCTCACGTTATCTACTTATGTTGAAACTAGGAGGCAACAACGCGCTTCGCGCGATAGTAACGTAAAATGCCCATTCCATTTGTGAAGTAATAAAGATAACAATTTATTTAGAAATGTACATTTTGAAGTATAGAAATGCCATGAGTCTGAAGGTTTGTTGATAGTTCTTGGCTACAAATTTTCATGGAAGTTGCAAAATTTCAAAATTCAATGGAAGTGCTTTGGAACTTCCAAAGAATGAATTTCTAAATTTGCTAAACTTTGCTAAACTTCCAAAGACTGAAATTCAAATTTAAAATTCTAAATTTGTTATAGGAACTTCCAAACTCTGAAGGTTTGTTAATGCAAATTTAATGGATTGTTAAACATCAAAGCTTAATAAGTAATGCCGTTGGAACATCAACTATCAAAGCTTCAATCGTTAAACAACAGTAGGAACTTGCTAAATATATAATTTGCAGTGCTTTGGAAGCATTTTTCTAACCAGAACTTTCTTCCATTAAGAACATAAATACAACAAATGTCGTGCATTGCATTGAAGTAGAATCAGCGTAAACCAGATGTGCCATCAAATGGAAAATGCAAACTGCCATGGAAACAACTTCTCTATTCCTTTGCAGTCAAACACCAGCACAGCAAATGAAGTCTTGGATTGTGGAATAAAAAATAATATCTAGCCAGTTTTTAGATCATGATCAATAACAAAACGGTTCCAGTTTTGATCAAAACATCTTCCGGTCATACCAACATGATAATATTTATGACCATTTGTAATAGTTATAGTCGGCGTACTATCTTCATTTAGCCTTAGATCCACAAATTCTGGCAGATCCTATAAATGTATGAAAAAAAGTTGTGATAAGTAAATACACATGTACAAAAGAAAGAGAGTTAATAAGGTCAGAGAATGCAAAACTATACCAGCTTGTACTTGTACTTTGATAGATAAAATTGATAGAAGCAATTGAATGCAGTCCAGTCATGTTTTAGGAATGGATTAATAGATGAGACAATACGATGGAGAACTGATTCTGAGATTTCATGATCTGTTTATAAAGTAACAAAAGAAACCATATCAGCCATAATAAATACTATCTAAGAAGAAAAAAAATTATGTATATATACATATAGATACAGTATCCGTAACAAAAAGATTAAGGAAATAAGTGGTTGCCTTTGTTTGAGAGCATTGGTAATGGAAGAGTCCAAGGCATTAAAATGTGAGTCTGTGTCTCAGAGAAAGCTAAAACGTCATAGATAAGATTTCCTTTTGTGCACAAGAAAATCATATTATTTTCGTCAATAAGATTGTCTTTGCAGAAGGAATGCCATCCTTGCTCAAAACATCGATCTTTGATGTTGATTTGCCAATGCTGTATACCATGGTGGATTGTAATAGTATAGCCGTTTTGAAGACCAAGTGAATGAAAAATAATAGCAGAGATTTCCTACAAGAGGAAAAAGCTAGTGTGAAATTATCTGTTTTAAAAGAATATATAATAGGGATCTGAACACTTAACCTACTTTTCTCTGTTTGAGCAAAAGAAAACGTGACACCATGGTCTTCCTTCTGGTATTTGGGGAACCTCTTGATCAGCTATTTCTTTAACGTATATAGTTAGAAATAAAGGGAAAAAATTAGTTTCATCATAAGCGGAAAAAATTGGAACATGTAATAATGAAAATCGGCAAAACAGAATCGCATACCTGTGTTTGCAAAAGCCTCTGAACTGATATCAATGATGTTTTGCATCCACCGTGTGACGGAAGTGAAAGAGTGTAGAGATGGTTCACCTGTGTACTGCATCACCATTGGATAATCTTCAATGAATTTTCTGCTGATATAGTATATAGCTGTTCCTTCATCTGATGTCTTATCAGTTGCAGCATGAACCCGTTTCTTATCCAATGTGCAAAGGAAAAACTTTATGTTATCTGTTCCAACTGCTTTCCATTTTTTGAAAGGATTTCTAGGCTTATCCATTGGAAAAGTGGTGGTTTATGCTACAAGTGTTAGAAAGAAATGGAAGCATGATTTCATGAATGTTTGAGTTTCATTTATAAGACCATGTTGTTTAATGCATGATGTAAATGAAAAGAAAGCTATCAAAGAGAGTAGTTGAATGAGTTAAATGAGTAATGAACAAAAAGCTCGATATTGCAATAAAGATACAGACCACAAAATGATCTGATACAGAGAGACTGCAATAAACGAGCTTTTTAACAACAAAAAAAAAAAACAGAATCCAATAAAGTATCTCAGACCATGATAGCTAAAAGGGCAAAAGAAAAGCAGACTTCCCTCCAATTCATCAATTAAACCAAAAACCCAAAAAAAGACAGAAACTTTATCCAACAACTAAAGACACCAAAATTTCTCCGAAAAAAAAAACAGAAATCTAGAGACAGGGAAAAAAAATCCAATAAAGTAGGACAGTCCATGATAGCAAAAGGGCCAAAAGAAAAGCACGTTCCCCTCCAATGCATGAAGCAAACAAAATCCAAAAAGACAGAAGCTTTATCAAACAGCAACTAAGAACAGCAATAGGGCAAAAAAGAATTATTATCACATAGCATGATAGCAAAGAAAAGAAAAGAACAACAAAACCCTGTAAATACAAAGGAAAAAAAAATTTAATGCACGAGGTAAAAAGTCTCTAAAGGAACAGATCCTTAGGTGTAAGAACTGGAACAGGAAAAAGACATGCAAATATCCGAAACAGTCGGAAAAAAACAGAATCCAATAAAGGATCTCAGACCATGATAGCTAAAGGGGCAAAAGAAAAGTAGACTTCCCTCCAATTCATCAATTAAACCAAAAACTAAAAAAAGACAGAAACTTTATCAAATAACACTAAAGACGCCAAAATTTCTCTGGAAAAAAAAAACAGAAATCTAGAGACAGGGGAAAAAAAATCCAATAAAGTAGGACAGTCCATGATAGCAAAAGAGCCAAAAGAAAAGCACATTCCCCTCCAATGCATGAAGCAAACAAAATCCAAAAAGATAGAAGCCTTATCAAACAGCAACTAAGAACAGCAATAGGGCAAAAAAGAAACAAATTATTATCACAGAGCACGGTAGCAAAGAAAAGAAAAGAACAACAAAACTTCTGTAAATACAAAGGAAAAAAAAATCAAATTTTGTAGAGGAAGGGAAAAAAAATTTAATGCACGAGGTAAACAGTCTCTAAAGGAACAGATCCTTAGGTGTAAGAACTGGAACAGAAAAAAGGCAAACAAACTAATTCGATCAATCAAGTTAATCAACCAAGAACAATTGAAATATCATAGCAAAAGGACCAAAAGAAAAGCACATTCCCCTCCAATGCATGAAGCAAACAAAATCCAAAAGGATAGAAGCTTTATCAAACAGCAACTAAGAACAACAATAGGGCAAAAAAGAAACAAATTATTATCACAGAGCATGGTAGCAAAGAAAAGAAAAGAACAACAAAACTTCTCATATTCTCGAGTTTGTAAAGAGGAACAACTGGAGGTTTCATGAGAGCAGAGCAACATCAAATCCATGTAGAGCAGACAGTGGAACGACCTTGGAACATCCAAGGGGGAGGGGGGGAACCGCGAAACGTGGACAGAGGAAAAAAAAAACTAAGAAGGGCAAGATCGCACCTGACTCAAGAGAAAAAACAGAAGGCCTGCGTCCAGAGAGGGAAAAAGGGCAAAGATGGCACCTCCCTGGCCTGTCAGAAAACAGTTCAAGAATCACTTCACAAATCAGTAAAAGAAAAGAGAAAACCATTGAAAAAGCAAGAGAAGATGGTGGGTTTCAGTGGCAAACATAAGCTATATAGTAGACAGCTGCAGTTAATTTGCCAAAATCACTAAGACACAAGGGAAGAGGATGATTCAAAATACCCACAACTGTACAAAACGGAACCCAAGCCTTCTAAATACACAAAACGGAACATATCTTGCAAGAAGATATTCTAAAACCAAGTAAGATAAGATAAGACAAAAAATGAAGGAGGAAAAAAACTCAAACCACATAACTAAAAGAGCAAAACAGTGGATCTAGTAGAGGATCTAAAGAACCACATCACCGACAGAGGAACCACATCACCGAAAAGAGCAAGCCCGCAACCTTCCGGAGGGCAAAATAGTAGATGTAGAGGACCTAAATGACCCAAAGCCTAAAAAGAACCCCAAAAAAAAAACCTTAAAGGAAGAACAAGAAGACTTACAGCGGAGTAGGAGGAGCGGACGGCAGCTGATCTGGACCACCGAAACTTAGAGAACGCGAGAGGCAGAGGCTCGATGGGGCTTGTGTGGCTGAAACGCAGAGAACGCGTGAGGTAGAGGTTCGATGGGGCTTGTGCGGCTCGAGAAAGGAAAGAAACAAACAGCAAAGAAAAAAACATCAGTTTTAGGCTAAGGACCAAGCAGAAGGCTAATGAAAAAGTCTGGATCTCACCGGAAAGGAAAAAAAAAAACTCACACGGAGGAAGAGCGAACCCCAAAGCCACAGCTTAAGCTCAGTTAAGCTAACTAATGAGCGGCAACCATAACAGCGATGGGTGCCGCACTTGTGAGGAGTGAAGACTAAACAACAACGAATGGAGAGAAGCCGATAGCGCAGCAGACTGGTGAACCCGGGCTCAGAATAGGCGAATAAGCAAAAGAGCAGCATTGTCCGACGCATGTGAGAGAGCAGGCAAAAGAAGAAGGAGAGAGAGAAGGCAGCGGTAAGAAGAAGCATGTGATAGTACCAGATTGAGAAAACGCGGTAGACAACGCAGCAGGAGGCACATGGGATACTGACAGAAAAAGAGGCGCGCAATGCCCGAAAAACACAACATTGCAACCCACATGCGCGGCACGTGAGAGGACGACGAAAACCTTCAGGTCATCACAGCTTTTTGCACGTTATCTACTTATGTTGAAAAAGTGGCAATGCGATGTATCTTGGATTCATAATGGTACATTTTATATTATTTTATGTTCAAGGATGTTAAAGGATAAATTTGCATCATTTTGAAAGTGAAGAACAAATATATATATATATATACATATATACATACAAAGGAAAAATAATTCAAAACATTTGTTACATTTTATCAAATGAATTTTTTCGTCCTTCACTTTTAAATAGTAACTTTTTGTCATTTATAAAATCAAATCCATAAAATTCGGTTCCAACATAGGTTTTTGACCACTTTTTACCTTGAATCACTTAGTCATTTTTTTTAGAGACAAAAAGGTTAGATCTAATTTATAGTTATACAAATGAATCAATCCATATTCATTTTTGCTCAAAAAAGTAGGATTTGATCCGAAATATATTCATTTTTTCTATAAGAACGTGAAACATGACCGAATTCATATTCATTTTTGCTACTAAAAAAGTGAGGTCTAACATTTTTTTTGTACACAAAAAATGACTGTATATGGATCATGCGATAATTTTAGGTTAAAAAGTGATCGAAAATTAGATTGAGACTAAATTTTGCTAACTTGAATTTGTAAGTGACTAAAATTTAATATTTTAAAAGTGAAGGCTAGAAAAATTCATTTGTATCATTTTCTCCAATGTTATGGAAATCGGACCGGACCGGCCGATTCGACTGGTTGAACCGTGAATCGGCCATGACACCGGTCCGGTTCTATACTAAAGCTGACATTGTCAAAAAACCGGTCAAACGCGTCAAAACCAGTAAACCCGCTCGAACCAGTGATTCCCGATTTTTCAATTTTTCCTCAATATTTTTTTAAGTTTTACAAAATGCAACTGCCAAGGATCAAATTCAAGACCTTTGCGATAGAAGGTCAACGTAGTAACCATTGCACCATTACATCCTATTAGTCTCTTTTGATTCGACCGATTGGATGTCAAACTGGCCATGACATTGATCCGGTTCCATAATAAAGTTGACATTGTCAAAAAATCGGTCAAGACCCGTTAAACTCGTCAAAATCAATAAATCCGGTCGAACTGGTGATTTTCGATTTTTCAATTTGCTAAGGATCAAACTCAAGACCTTTGCGATAGAAGGCCAATGAAGTAACCATTGTACCATCAGATCCTATTAGTCTTTTTTGATAATACATTTATATAAAACAAATATCCATCTTTCTTTTCTCCGTTTTCCTTACAAAATTTTATTCTTTCTAATCTTCAACTCTCTCTCTCTACTATATTTTTTTGTTGCCCCCTTTTTAAACAAACCTCTTTAGTTTTAATTTATTGATATTTTCTTCCATCTTTTAATTTTGTTTTTGTCTATTAAATTGAAAACAATTAAAAAAAATTATTTTTCTTTAACCCTAAAGACTAATTATTAAATGCCACAACCACTCACTTTCATCTCATTTTTTGCTTCTTATCAAGTTTACATCTCTATTTTTAATTCTCCTGACTTTCTCCAAACTCCAAACTTTGTTTTTTAAAGTTGCAATATCTAAATCCAGAAACATGAATTAAAATTTAAACTCACAATGTCTAATTCCCATAGACCTGAATTTTGTATAATTTCAAAATATTGTGGTATTTTTGGGCTGGATTTAATATTTTTTTTGGTAAATATAATTGAGATTGAGATAAAATTTATTTGTTTTAACTTATAATTTAAAAAATTTATTTTTGAAATTCCAAGTTCTTCAAAAATATTAAACTTTTTATCATGTAAAGTTTTAAATTAGTTCATTGCATATCTTATTTTGTGCATATATATATATTTATATACATTATTTTTAAAAAAATTCATTGAGCTAGGGTTCAACTGGTCAGTCTGACCGATTAAATCTGGACCGAACATTTCATTGATTCAATTAACGGCACGGGTTTTAAAACATTGGTTTTCTCTCCTGCCAAAGTATTTCTGGGAAACAAGGGGGGGAAAATAAGAGTCTGAGCAGGCTAAGGAGGATGAGAAAAACTGAAAAAGTTCAAAGTTGTGAAATTCTCAATAAAAAAAGATTGAACTGAAAAAGAGAAAGCGGAAACCTCAAAATGCCACCCAATGCTCCACCTTCGACTGCCATAGCCAAACCCCATAAACCCTACTTCTTCTACGGCCACCGGAAACCCACCCAAAACCGCCCCACCGTCCGCGGCGGCCTCTTCTCCAACCGCCAAATTATCAACCCCAATCGCAAAAACCATCCCCGACCTTCTTCTCAACCCGCATTTGACCTCTCAAAATGGGACCCGGACAGCCTTCCAACTCGACCCAATTACCCAGAAAAGGACCCATCTGAGAAATTCTTCTCCGTGGCAAAGACTCTGTCCCCAATTGCTAGGTACATAGTTGACTCCTTTCGAAAACACCGCCACTGGGGCCCACCTGTCATGGCGGACCTCAATAAGCTCCGCCGTGTAACGCCGAAGCTGGTGGCGGAGGTTCTTAAAGTCCCTGATATTGATTCGCGACTCTCGTCTAAGTTCTTCCACTGGGCTGGTAAACCGTTCATTTTTTACAATCACTTTTGGTTTTCTGGGCACTCGCTTTCACAACTAATATTTTTAGTTCTATTTGTTTTGCTGGGTATGGAAATGCTTGACAATTCCATATGTTTTTATCAGCAAAATCATGAGAAATGTGAAATCATAATCTCTTACCTTTTCATTTATTATTATTATTATTTTTAGATATGGGCCGATTTTAGATTGTCTTTCTACCATCACGTGATGTTAATTTTTGTACATTTAATTGCTCTTTTGAGAAAATATGGTATGGCCCTTCAATTTTGTCTGTCTGCATATTAACGGTTAGTGAGGTAGTAAAAACATTTATTCCTTTGTTTCTACCCCTGCGTGGGACGTAAATTTGATAATCCTAGCTTAGCTAGTTTAATAAAAAAAAATGATATTGTTTGATTCTCTCTGTGTGTGCGTGGGTTTTTTTCTTTTGCCTTTTGTTCTTGGCTTTTTCAGTAAATATGTTTTTAAGAAGTATCAGGTGAGACAAGTAGGTTTATTAGATAAACTCTACTGTTTGGTTATGTTTCTTATGCATGGAGTGTTTTTTCTACTTAAATAATTTAACAGTGTTTTCTCATGATCACGCATCTTTTTGAGTTCCTGGGGATTGGATTCATATGGAAATTGAGGAAAACATATGTGCACTTATTTGCATGCAACATCTACCAATTGATGAGTATTTATGTTTTCAATATAAGTGCAGTACGTTATGGAATTTTTTCTAATATGTGCTATATGGTTCGAATGAAATGAACAGGTAAGCAAAAGGGTTATAGGCATGATTTTTCTTGTTACAATGCGTTTGCCTATAGCTTGAATAGGACAAGCCAATTTCGAAGTGCTGATCAGGTGCCTGAATTAATGTGTATGCAAGGGAAACTTCCTAGTGAGAAACAGTTTGAAATCCTGATAAGAATGCATTCTGATGCAGGTAGGGGACTTAGGGTATATTATGTGTACGAGAAGATGAAAAAGTTTGCCATTAAACCAAGAGTTTTTTTGTACAATAGAATAATGGATGCACTTGTTAAAACTGATCATTTGGATTTGGCTATGTCCGTGTACAAAGATTTCAAAGAAGATGGATTAGCAGAGGAGAGTATCACTTTCATGATTTTGATCAAGGGCTTGTGCAAGTCTGGTCGAATGCATGAAGTGCTTGAGCTTTTGGGTCATATGAGAGAGTTGTGCAAACCAGATGTATTTGCATACACGGCAATGGTGAAGGTATTAATTGGAGAGGGAAATTTAGAAGGATGTTTGAGGATTTGGGAGGAAATGCGGAGGGATGAAGTTGAGCCAGATGTTATGGCATACGGAACTTTAGTGACAGGATTGTGCAAAAGAAGACAGATTGAGAAAGCTTATAAGTTCTTTAAGGAGATGAAAGAGAAGGGGTATCTGATAGATAGAGCTATATATGGGTCATTGATTGAAGCATATGTGGCAAAGGGTAAGGTTGGTTCAGCTTGTGATTTGCTGAAGGATTTAGTCGAATCCGGATATAGGGCTGATTTGGCAATATATAACTCTCTTATTGAGGGATTGTGTGGTGCAGAACGGGTTGATAGAGCTTATAAGCTTTTCCAAGTTATGATTGTAGAGGATGTGCAGCCAGACTTTTCCACTGTGAGACCACTATTGGTATCTCTTGCGGAGTTGGAAAGAATGGATGACTTTTGCAAAATGCTTGAGGAAATGAAGAATTTGGGTTTTTCTGTTATTGATGATTTATCGAAGCTGTTTGAATTTATGGTTGTCAAGGATGAAAAAATAAAACTGGCTTTAGAATTGTTTGAATATTTGAAAATGAAGGACTATTGCAGCGTTTCAATATATAATATTGTTATGGAGACTTTGAACAGGATTGGGGAGGTAAGAAAGGCGTTAGTAGTCTTGGATGAATTAAAAAGCTCAAATTTTGAACCTGATTCAGTAACTTACAGCATTGCTATCCAATGTTTTGCTGAAGTTGGAGATGTACATGAAGCATGTACTTGCTATAACAAGATAAAAGAGATATCCAAGTTGCCTTCTCTCGCTGCATATCGATCTCTTGTAAAAGGGCTCTGTGCAACTGCAGAGATTGATGCAGCCATGATGCTAATTCGTGACTGCTTAGGCAGTGTTGCAAGTGGACCCTTGGAATTCAAGTATACATTAACAATTATTCATCTTTGCAAGTCAAAAGATGCCAAAAAGGTAGTTGGAGTAATAGATGAAATGGTGGAACAGGGTTGTCTTCCGGATAATGTCATATATTCTGCAGTTATATGCGGCATGTGCAAGTATGGGACAATTGAAGAGGCAAGGAAAGTCTTTGTTGGTTTAAGAGAACGTCAACTTCTAAGTGAAGCTGATGTGATTGTTTATGATGAGTTGCTTATTGACCACATGAAAAAGAAGACAGCAGACTTGGTGTTATCTGGCTTGAAGTTTTTTGGTCTGGAAAAGAAGTTAAAAGCAAGAGGCTCAACACTTCTGCCTGGCTGAGAATGTGAATTCAGGTATTAGATCATCAACATCTTTACTTTTAGACATTTTAATACACGTTACTATGTGCGTGTTGTAAGTTTGCTATTACCTGATAATTTATGTGGACTATTCTTAATGTGTGCCTGATCTCCTGAACTTTTGATCATTACTAGATACTTACTTTATGGAAGAATACAGCAAATTTTGACACATTCTGTGTGGAGAAAAGCTACAATCAAGAGAGTTGACCGTTGGGCTATGTTGAGAATTTTAAATCAGGTACTTACACTAGAACCTGCTTCGACTTACTTGCTAGTTTGTATAGCCTATTCTCAGTTTAGATAGTTTATTTCTGTTCTTAGTTTAACATATTAGCCTTGATGTCACGGAAAGATGAATGCTAAAACATAAGGTGTGATAAGTACACACAAGTTTGTTTATGTTCAGGGAACAACTACAATCCCTGCATGATTCCCAAGGTTATTCAAAATTTCAGCTACTAAACATTCGCAACTTAGGATTCTGCCTGCAGAAAAAATCTTGACCATCTTGTTTTCTTGTGCTCTGAAATGTCTCATCCCAGGAATGGCAGATTATAAAACATGGAAGGCTTAGAGGCATTTTTGTATTGGCTAATTTCATTTTGATAGTTGGTTTTTAAGGTTACGAGCGGGCAATGGCTAAATCCTCTCCTGTGTATGATTCAGGGGCTACGAACAAGCTTATTGCGCTGTGCATTTAGACACTATTTTAACTTGATATTTGTCCAAATTAGTGAATGTGGGAGTGCATTTGGTGTTTCATTGTAATTTCAAATTTGAATTTTGTCTTGATTTCGCTTCTTTTCACTTCTGTGATTAGTGGCACTTGTTATAACTTTTGTCTATTGGAATAAAATGTAGTAGTGTTTCTGTTTTTATTTATTTTTTTTTGTAACTTTTCCTTTTGTTTTTTGGTTTTAATATGCTGTAACGATTTTCTAAAATTTCCAGTGCCGTATTAGTTAGTATTGCACTTAGATCACCCAATAGCTTCTTGCACCAGTCATCTGACATACTTGTTTGATGCTATTCCTGGTACATCCTTACTGAGAAAATTCTCAACAATTTGTATTTACTACTGGAACTAATCTAAGAAAGAGAGTGGGGAAGCAAATGTAAGTTGTACAGCTATTTGTTTCTTTGGGACTGGGGGTTCTTGGGGCAAAGTTTTGTAGCCTTGTTTGCTGCTCTTAGTTGTTACAACCTATCTCTTGGTTCTTGCTGAAGCTTACTGTTTTGTTGCTGGAATTAAACTTGGTTCAGGTCTGATACGGCTTGTGAATCCTGTGGCAGAAAGAGACCTAAATTTCCCCTGAACAATTGAGACTGGTCTGCAGTATGTGAAACATGTCCTTGTGAGTGAAGTTGGGTCAAGTGGACAAGGTAATTACCTGCTATTGATCATTTACCATCTTCATTGATGTTACAACCTATCTCTTGGTTCTGGCTGAAGCTTACTGTTTTGTTGCTGAAATTAAACTTGCCTACCACTTTTTCTTCAGAGATTGATAATTCAACATGTTACTTTAGTTAATTATCAAGCTGCGAAAATTTGGTGAAGTTTAGCAGTTAAAATGCTGTCCTGTTGGGATGGTTCAGGTCTGATACGGCTTGTGAATCCTGTGGTAGAAAGAGACCTAAAATTTCTCTGAACAATTGAGACTGGTCTGCAGTATGTGAAACATGTCCTTATGAGTGAAGTTAGTTAAGCGAACAAGGTAATTACCTGATATCGATCATTTACCATCTTCGTTGTCTTTAAGGTAGTTCCGAGGCTGAGTTCTGTGAATTGCAGTGTTTCACCTTTGAAGAAAATAATTGTCTAGGGTGAGTTTGGAGTTCGTCTAGAGCTGGCTTAATGGTCAATGACTTCCCCTTGCGATGCAATACCAGTAAAAGTCCTGACTCTATACCAAGCAAGCTCCAGTGTTGGATAAGTTAAAGTGGCATTCTGTCTTTGGTTTGTGCTATGGAGTACAGCATGTTCGGGAACCTTAATCTACTGCCCTTCTGTCTGAGTGTAAAATTTGGATTAAGTATAAAAAAGTAAGCCAATATCTGTGGATGTTGCAAATTTGGATATCGATTCAGGTGGCAAAATATTTGAAGTTGGTAGCAATTGCGTGATCTGAGAAGGGTCTTGTTAGACACGAATGTTCTTCCTGGCTTAGGTAGTTACACACATTTCTGAATTTGTAAGCTGTACTGATGTTTTCAATTTCTATGGCCCCTTGTGTTATATTTCATTTTTATTTTATGTGGGATTTTTTGGGGAAAGAAAATGGAATAGTCAATCCACATGCGTTCTTTAAATGGATCATGTCTTGGGGGAAGTACTGGTGTACTGCAATTATTTCCTCTTCGTAAATTTGTTAGAGCTTTGTATGCTGAGCTGTTTGTCTCTTAGGTTGGTGGTAAGAAATTGGACATCCCTGTTTGGCATTCATTGTTCTTTTGTCGAACTTTTCTGCCCTTCAGATATGTTATATTGCCTTCGCTTTTGTGGATTATAAATTAGATATCACCCTAGGTTTCTTTCATTTTGCTGTAAGTTTATTTTCTCCAGTCTTTACTATGGTAGGAGTCTGAAATCCCACATCGATCATTGTGGTTTTGCTCGAGGGATGTGATGATATTCCCTTAAAAATAAAAATAGCAAAAGGTAAGGAGTCTGTCTGAATTGGTTGATCAAATTGATTGACTTATTTAGAGAAGAAAAACTTCGAGCAAAATTCCTAAAACTCATGTGGAATACTAGTACGATATAAAACAATTTATCGTGGGATCGACAAAAGTCAAAACATCTTATAAGCATATATCGATCTTACAAGTCATTCCATTCCAACGGTCCAAAGTAGCAACGACATGAACCTCGTGCAAAAAATAACTCTAATTTTCCTTTTTTTGATCTTGTCTTGTGCACTTTTTATTTCAATAAAACCAACATATTCATTGCAAATGAATAATTTTCATCTTGCCAATTGTTGCATTCATTTATGGATGCGAAGTGGGAGCCTCAAACAACAAACCAACAAGCCTGATTAAGCTCCATCAGAGAACTATTGATGAATAGCTTCTTCATATTGTGTTGTTTTTTCAAAGCATTTACCTAGTGCAGCCTTCCAAAAATTATTGAAGGCAAGCACCCATTGGATGGTTCATAAATAGTGTCTCAATAAGTAAATGCATTTTCTTGCTACCAATATTCACGACCAATAAATCACCACCGTTTCAATGGCTTCATCATTTATCAAACAGTTAAATAACTAGTTAATTGCATACCAATAAACAGACCAAACTGCATCCCCATCAATAATTCACCAAGGCCAATAACTTTTCTGAAATGCCTTTCTGGCACAAGTATCAATATTTTTTACTAAAACATTCCGATTTGAATACAACATTTTTTTTTTATCAATTTCAATAGTTGTAGCCTTTTCTATTATACTTTTTTTTTTGTAATTTTCAGTAATTTATTTTGGATTTTTCTTAATCAATATGGCATAATATAGTGAATTTAATCATCAATTTAACCTTTTGTTTTCTCATTAACTGTTTATAACCTTTTGCCTTCTTATTAATCGTGATTTTCTTCTAAACCAATATGTATATAAAATATACTTAACTTTAATTATCACTAGTAACAATATAATAATTGGAGATAATTTTAACACATACAATAATTCGAGATGAGAGAAATGATTAGTGAATATAGTTGTGAATGGACAGTTTTTAATTTTAATTACTAACATTTTTAAGATGTAATTTATTGAAACTTTTCATTTTTTTTATTACTGTCATGATTGAAATGCAATAACTCTAATTAAAAGACATGAAAGTAATTTAGGCTTAACAAAATCTAAGATCAAAATACACTTACACTCTTACACTTCCTAATGTCAAGACTCATCATACTTATTATATAGTAATGATAAGAAATGAAAAAGAAGGATGAGGAAATTAGATGAAAGAAAGCAATACAGTGGCCAGCAGCTTTTTTTTTTTTTTTTTTTTTTTTTTGGCCTTTTATCCACATAAAATGCCAGCGGTCAGCTCAACATTTGTCAGTGAAATGGGTAAAGAATCTGAATAAAGGGGATGGGCTTTTAAGAAACGAGTAGCCTGTAGAAGTTTAACTCATAATACTAATTACACTAATTCCAGATTATATACCGACATCCAAATACCATTCCTTTTAAAAGGTGATCCGTCTCAAAACTTTTTGGACCCCTGAAACTTACACATGCAAGTCAGTCAGTATCTTTCAGTTTGGATTAGCAACTAAACTTGCCAGAATGATTCAAAGGGCTCGTATTAAAGAGATGAGTGATCTTTTTGGCTGAAAAAAAAGGTGTTGGATGAACAAACGGTGCAATTTTAAATAGTTTGGTGACTTTTTTGACCATTTACTCTATTCTTAATATTCAAAATCAGGGTCCCTCAACAAGATTAATACCATTCTACCATCGTCTACAGCAGAGGAGCAATTAAAACATTTTCAAGCTAGTATTTAAACCTTTGACTACCCTTTTTTTATTTCTTTTGTTTCCTTTCTGCACATTACTCACCTTTATGTTATGAAATTGAAAACACATGTATAGAATGTCAAAAATGCTGGCTGCTCATAACGATAACAGAACCTGAATGTTAACTAACAATCTTATTACATAATGCTAACATATTCTAAAAGAAATAGATCAACTTAAAATCTCCTTATAAACTGGTGGCATATTTTAGAAGGAATATGTGTAGGAGCTCAAGCTTTGCTACACCTCCAGAAGTAGCTTTCAGAAGTCACAGATGTAAATCTCTGCAATAGTGACTGTTTCCTGTATGAGTATGACCAGCTAGTAAATTCGGCAGATCTTTTTCCTTGAATTTGTTTCTCACATCAGTATTCCTCTACCTGTTCAATAGAACGCTACTTGGAAGATGGTTCAACTTCTCTTTTTGGCCTGTTACGTTTACGTGGAACTGCTGGTTTTTCCTCTGAGGAAATGCGGTCGCCATCCTCCTCTCCTGCCTCCAATATTTCCTGATTAACAGCAAGCTGGTTCATGGAACAACATCAATTTATTACATACTTTCATTTGGCCATGGTAAAAAGATATTCTTCATATGATTCTGCCCTTTATTTGATGAAAACGGGAAGAACGACGGGTGTGTGGATAGAAGATTTTACACATACATATATATATAATCTTAGCAAATATATGTCATAAAGATACAAGAACATTTGGACACATAAATAGTGCCAGAAGCCCAAGAAAAAAGAGGGGGAAGAAATATATTTTCCCAGCATATGATGTTAACACAGATTATGTTAATTTTGATTAATTCCTCTTAATTAAAACATTCCCTAAATTTCTTCAAAATGGACAATCACGCATGAATTCAAGCTAGAACAATCACCATTGATGTTCCCATTCCATGCTCCATGTAAAATGCTTAGAAAAAAGAAACCTAATTCTAACAGACACGTACAAATACTTTTGGTGACAAAACATTCAGCGAATGTGGTACGTTTTAGATTAGAACACCTTAGTTCCATAAACACTAAAAATCATTCCTTCAACAAACAAGTTACTCCACATAAAAACCATTGTAAAGACTTGGATCCATCACACTGCACAAGCCAAATAGCACTTTTCAGATTATTGAATCAGCTCATACTAACTTGATTGTTTCTGAACATTACTGTTTTCAAGTAGTGTTTCAGGTTATCACTACTTTAGGTAGATAACTTGGTCTACATTCCAGATTGGAGACCTGAAATTTGGTGAAACTTATATTGCGGCTTGGTATTATGGAAGTAACAAAGTGCCTTCAGGAAGCCACATGCCTCTGCATATGTTCACTACTGAACAGCATTGTCAATATTTTGTTATTCTTATGCGGAAAAATAGAAACAGTGTGCCTTCAGGCAGTAGCAGTAAGCAGCTGACAGAGTTTAGCCAATTCTCACAGATTACGTTCTTCTAAATATGTGATACTACTATACCCGACAGAGCGATGAGTAAGATCACATTCTTTAGCCTGGCTAAGCTTAGATTGGATTACCAATACCACTACAAACTATGAAGATAAAGAAGCAACATGATTCTAATACAACACACGCATATGGAAAAGACAACGACATACCTGGGATGAGATGGACAAATTTTTTTTCTTCTTTTTTTTTTGGTACTTGTTTTTCCCCTTCTCTGTCGATATCTTACTATGCAGTATGCACCAAGACCAAGAAACACTTTATCACCTTTGAAGGACAAAGGCATTGGACATTTTGCAAGGACACTAGTTACCAACTTATTATTTGTTTGTTAATAATTTCTGACATAAAATCCTTGTTACAACAAAGAAGTTATTAATTATAGCAAATTTGTGTTCAAGTTTTCCTTGCTGTCAGGTACAGATATTTCTCTAATATCCATTTAGGCAGAATTGCTTTGTTCATTAGTAGTTTGTAGCAGTGTTAGAAATCTGTTTTACCTTTTACTTATGATTTTGTTCTTTTTTTTTTTTTTCAATATTTCTTCTTTGCCAGTATACTCCTAATTATCAAGCCCCAAACTTTTGTTCTCCTCCCTACTTCTATTATAGTAAGAGGACACAGCTTTTACAAACTAAGGTAGCTAAAAAATTGTGTCATTTAAGTTTTAACTGTTTCCGCATTTGCATAATTATATAGAAATATTCAACATTGCTACAGGCAGAAATTCCAACAATTCTGAGATTAACTCTACCTTATAAGGTAAAATAAACTCAGAAAAATTACCACTTATCAAACTCAACGAGACCAACAAAAAGTGAAAATGAAAATCCAAATTAGAAAACAAAGATGCAAATAAACCCACAACTTTAATTTTAATATCAATTTAAAAATTGAATACAATCAGACAAAAACATCAGCAGAATTTAGCAAAAAACCCCCATTAATGGATGAAGGAATGAGCCAATGAAGCTTTACCTCTTCAAGGAATTTCTGGTCAAGCTCATCAGTAATTCTCATAGCAGTGAAGATGGTGACAGCAACAAGAGAAATTGGGAAAATAAAGGCAAAAATGTAGCTGGTGCTGCTGGGACCTCCCCCCTTTGTTACCACTGACAAGCCTCTGCTGCTTTTCTTGTTGCCATGGATAAAGGGTAAGGTTGATGGGGACGAGAATGGTTTGTAAGTCTGAGTGAGGTGAAGAGTGGACGCACAAGAGGTAGAAGAAGAAGAAGAAAGGTAGTTGGAGATAAATGTTAGACTGGCCATGGGTGGCTTTTCTTGTTTTGGTTTGTGTGGTTGTTATTATCGTTAAAAGAAAGTTACATTTGATGGTCTTTGGTACTTCTACTCGGTTTTTAGGGTTAATTCCACTTTGTCCCCCCAAACTTTGGACGATTATCCACTTAAGTCCCTAAACTTCAAAATGGGACACTTAAGTCCCTAAACTTATAAATACCTCCCACTTAAGTCCCTCAACTTATAAAATGGGACACTTAAATCCCTAAACCCTTATAAAATGGGA